TTTTTTTTAACCTTCCAGATTCCCATTGTCTGGTTCTCTTCCTCCCCGCCTCTCTTCCCCCTCTCCCTCCCACCCCCCACACTCCCCTTTCTCTGTGCTCAGCCTGTGTTTCAGATGTATTAACTTCGCTGGCTTTCTCTGCCTTCTCCCCTTCTCATACTGTAAACCAAAATGAGGTTTTGCAAAGGTCAAACACACCAAATATTGATCCAAACAAAGCTGGGTTCGTCGCTCCCTCCCTTCCCCATACAAACTCGTAATCTCTCTCCAGGCCAAACCTATAGAACAACCTCCATTCGCTGTGCTGGGGAACACAAGTGTCCATTCCCAGGGAACTTTGGGGAGCTGGAGTGACACAGGCTCCTGCTCCTGTTGCACAAGAACCCTGCACATGATGCTTCCCTCCTGTGTCAGCTGACTGGCTCTGTGGCACTCCACTCTCTTTCAAGAGTGACTGCATTGGAGGGAGGATGCTTTAGAGTATTTTGACCTTAAAAGCTTCAGCAGGAGGTGTAACCCAGCGGGAGGGTGGTCTGGCAACCAGTTTAACATCTGGGTGTCTAAGGGTATGTCTACACAGCAAAGAAAAACCTGGGGCTGGCCCGGTGGAGCTCGGGCTGTGGGGCTGTTTTATTGCTGTGTAGATGTTTGGGTTGGCTTGGAGCTGGAGCCCAGGCTCTGGGATCCTTCCACCCTGCAGGGGCCTATAGCCAGGGTCGGCTGGCACAGGTCAGCAGCGGGTGTCTAGTTGCTGTGTAGACGTACCTTAAGTGGCTAACCGTGAGGTGCTCAGAACTTGCTCTGCCCATTGAAGTCAATGGAACTGCTTACAGGTGAAGTGCCTCAGGGCTGGACTTCGAGTTCCCATCTCTTCTTGGGGCTCTGCCCCCTGCCATTTACAGCTTCAAAGAATTCAGATTACAAAAGTAAACATGGATGCTCCCAGAACAGGACCTGGAGGGACTTGCATGTGGCTGGAACCTTCTGGCACAGCGCAGGAAGCATGTTGATGGCTGCTCACTGAGAGTCTGAACTGACCCTTATACAAAGCCCATGTAGGACTGACTGACCTCGAGCTCCTGGGCTGAGCTCGAGGTTTGAACCCCGGGTCGAAGGTAGGTCCAAGGACTGAACCCAGGTGTGCTGCCTGGTAGTACAAGCAACAACTGGCAGCTTCTGGTTGGGCCTTCTTCATGAAAGCAATGTAAGTGGTGCTGAGCTGTAGGAATGAAGGGAGTCCAATCCCTTTTCGATGGTACTGCTCTGACACTGCTGCTCCCGGAAAGAGCAGAGGGGGATTTTCATTTTTCAATAGCCGTAGCATCTTATCCTTCCCCATTATGAGACTGAACGTGCCACTGCTACAAAACTCCATGCCAGTCCCCATCATTCTGGATTGTTTTGCCCTCTAATGCTCCATCCAGAGGAAGTGCTTTTTCCCCTTTGGCAGTTTCCCCTCGCTGGCAGTTGTGCGTAGCAGGGGAATCCCGTGTGAACGCTTGGCTTGCAGATGCATGGAGCTGCATCCACTTGTTCTAATGGATGGGGTGGAGAATGCCACTTAAAGTAACTGGTTTAAGGGAGGCAGCCCCAGTCTCACTTGGGTTGTGATATGGATCTAATGAACCACGTGGGGAGGTGGGGCAGGGAAACAGTGTCAGTAGAGCAATCCCTGCATTTTGACTCTACTGGGGACGCTCCAGTTTTTAACATCAATCTAGGTAATGCCATGACTGCACCCCTCTCTCATGCTAGCATGTGGGGCATATTGTCCCAGCTCCTTCACCTCCTGTGAGTTCCGTGACTCACATTCCAAATTGTTCTCCTGGTTTTCAAACTCTCTGGGCTTGTTCCATCGATTCACCTTATGTCCACCTACTCCTCAGCCTCTTCAAAGTGCTCTCCCAGTCTTCACCTCTGCCTCATTTCTCGCAGCTCTACAGGTGAAGATGCCTTTGCCTAGTGCTGTCGCATCTGCCTTGGATCTCTCAACCCTGTCCAGAGCAATTTCCTCGCTGATTCCGGAGTGCCAGCTGGCTCTCTGTACAGTGATTGTAAGGGACACAAAGTAGTACATTGCCCTACTATAGGGCAAAAAAGGGCAACAAAAATTATTAGAGATATGGAACAGCTTCCGTATGAGAAGAGATTAATAAAACTGGGACTTTTCAGTTTGGAAAAGAGACAACTAAGGGGGCGGAATATGGTAGAGGTCTATAAAATCATGACTGGTGTGGAGAAAGTGAATAAGGAAGTGTTCTTTACTCCTTCTCATAACACAAGGACTAGGGGTCATCAAATGAAATTAATAGGCAGCAGATTTAAAACAAACAAATGAAAGTATTTCTTCACACAACGCACAGTCAACCCGTGGAACTCCTTGCCAGAGGATGTTGTGAAGGCCAAGACTGTAACAGGGTTCAAAAAAGAACTAGATAAGTTCATGGAGCATAGGTCCATCAATGGCTATCTGTTATGTTGCTATTATCTGCCTCTATCAAGTATTTGCCAGAAGCTGGGACTGGGAGACCGGGTGGCTCACTTGATGATTACCTGTTCTGTTCATTCCCTCTGGGGCACCTGGCGTTGGTCACTGTTGGAAGACAGGATACTGGGCTAGATGGATCTTTGGTCTGACCCAGTATGGCCGTTCTTATATTCTATAGCACCTTCAGTCTGAGGAGCTCAAAGCATTGTAGAGACTAATGAATTATGCCTCATGCTGTCTTGGAAACAGGGAAGCATTATTTCCATTGCACACCTGTGCAATCTGAGGCAAACTGAGTGGGATGTGACTTGGCCAAAGTTGCACAGTGAGTCAGTTGGAAAGCTGGGAATTAAACCCAAATCTCCTGAGTCGTAGTCCTGTGCTTTTTAACCATAAGAGTGTCCTTCCTCAAAGCGGTGTGGATTAGTACTACCTCTGTGAAATGCCTGGCTCCACACGGAGCTGCAGTTCAGTCAGCTCTGTCCTCAGTAGCCCTATCTAAAAGGGGGCTTAGTTTATTTGGTTATTGTCCTCAAAAGTAAACCCTGGCCTTTAACCTCTCTGCACGTTGCCCTGTATGGTACTGGGGCATGAAAAGAGACACCGTCAGGGTGGTTTTATAGTGCAAGGTATCTTTCCGTACCCTTATCTCAGCCCCTGAAAGTTTTTGAAAACGGACTCTTTGCTTATCTGAGCCCACTTCTGTCCCGTAATGCACGCTCTGGTTGTTGGGCTGTTGGCGGGGAGCTGCTCTTTTCGAAGTAAGGCGTTGGAAGCATTCTCGCTGAGATGGATGGGGGTGGGAGGCAGGGGGTGGAAACCCAGGCAGTCTGCAGACCAGTACTGGAGGGCTTGGGTGGCCCAACTTTGGACCCACCAACCTGGATGAGATCCCTCTCTAACATACAGCAAAGCGGTTCTGAGGCTCCAGTGCTGCAGCCTCTTTGCTTGGGATCTCCTGAAGGGCACAGTTGTGTGATCATCTAGCACTGCAGCCCGCTGAGGCGTAATCTCAAACGGCACTAATCCATTATAGTGCCTAATCCTGCTTAGTAGAGGCTTTTGTTCTTGAGCGAGGAGTAAATCACTAGCCAGGCTGCAGTCGTATTAGCATTTGCCAGTCAATTTGGAAAGCCTCTTAGCTTTCTGCATGGAAATATGGTATCCACATGGCTTCTGCTGGCACTTTCCGCAAGTAGCATCTTGGCAGCTGCGTGAGCAGCAGCACAGCAAGGAGGGCTAGCCTGGTGGCTGCAGCTTTGTACCACATGTGGGAGATTTGTCTTGTCTCTCACACCACTGGGCTCTTGGTGCAGGGCCCGACTCTTCAGCAGTGATCATACCAACAGATTAGGAAGCAACACTGGGTGAGGGGATGCCAGAAGGTTAGTCACTGTGGCTATGTCTGTACTAGACAGAAAGGGTTCTTCCATTGCTGTAGTAAATCCACCTCTCCAAGAGGAAGTAGCTAGTTTGAGGAAAGAATTATTCCAGCGACCTAGTGCTGTCTACATAAGGGCTTAGGTCGGCTTAACTACATCTCTCAAGGGTGTGAATTTTTCACATCCTTGAGTGACGTAGTTGGGTCAACCTAACTTTCTGGGACTCGGCCTTGAAGGGTGGTGGTGATGGTGCAGGAGGATGCTGGGATACCAGCAGATACGTAGTAAATCCTCCAAGGTGGAGGTAACAAAGATCTGGCAGTTGACTACAGCTCTGTGCTGAGATGTTTTTCCTCAAATCACTTATAAAATCAGAAAAAGGCTGCTAACTATGGAGCAATCAAAACCAAACGTAAAAAAGCCCCTTTTAAAAAAAAAGTGACATAGTAATTCCAGCCACGTCAGCTCTCTGGTATGACAGCTATCTCATCCTGTTGGCAAGTCCACAGCCCTGGAACAGCCCCTGCTCCCAGTGGCCATCAAAAGCTGTAAACAAACATGAAGACGGAGCTGAAACCTTAAAGCTGCTCCAGATGGGCCTCCAGGTATGAGGGTCTAGGCTGGCTTTGATTCACGTGCGTGTCAGCGTAATAAGAAAACCAAACTTCCGTCACTGTAGCCAAGTAAAGCTCTGTCCTGCTTCCTCAGATTGTGGGCCGTTGGAACCTCAGGGAAGCTCTCGGAGAGATGCGCTCTGCGTGTGCACGCCCTTTCTGTTGGGAATAACAGAGTGCCATGTGGATTCTGTCCCATGATTGCCTGCAAGATCTCTCACTCCAGGGAGAACATGGCACATGTAGAACTTGTGGTTTTGTAGCATCAGGAATAAAACTCTGGCTAACAAAAACCACTGAGTGTCTCTGCTGCTGCTGCAAGAATGGTGAATAAATCTGAACAGTGCAGAGGGTTCCCACGAGCTAGCCTTGTTTGAGTGGGGAGGGGGAAGTAGGTTTGACTCCAACACAAGCCCTTTTGCTCCCTTTTCCCTGTCACGTGGGCTGTACTCAGAAATACAGGTTTCAGATCTCTGTTTATAACGGATTTTAACCCCTATCTCTTTGTTTTGCTAGATCATGATTGAGTTTTGCCCTGGTGGGGCAGTGGATGCTGTCATGCTAGGTAAGTGCCACAAATCAATATTCTTACTTTGGCTAGGGACATGTCGGAGACAGAGAAAGGACTGTGGGGCAGCCCTCTCCTCCTCATGTAATGTTCCTGTGCTCCTTAGCAGCAGACGTGACATCCTCCACTACCCTCCCAGGGTGTGGCTTCTTGCATGGCTTTTTTAGGGTGGTGGGTCGTGTTTTTCTGTGTAACTAAATAGAAATCCTGCTGCAGCCTTAACTATGGAGCCTCTGCCTGTCCTCCATAATCTGCGTGTTGGCTAGGTTTATTGTGGCAACCTCTGGGCATCTTCTGCGCTACTTGTGTCAGTCTGCTGCATGGTCTATAGATTGCTCAGTGTTGGCAAGCAGTGGGGTGGGGGTGATTTTTAGGAGGGATGGGTGCCTATAATACTTTCTGCCTGAGGAGGTCTGTTTGGGACCCCATTTATACAGCACACTGATATCGTGTCACTTGTATGCTCCTGAGGAAAGCCCTCCAGTAAAAGGAAAAGGGGTTTAGCTATTAATCTGGGTGTCATTGACATTGAGTCTCTCCAAGTCTCCTTCCACCCCTGGCATCAGTAATCCATTGAAACAGCTAGTGTTAGAGCAGACTGAGACTAAGGGCTAGTGTACACTGACAGCGCTACACTGACAATGACCTTGTGTGGTCGCGGCGCAGCGCTGGGAGAGAGCTCTCCCAAAACTCTTAAAAAACCACCTTCACGAGGGGCGTAGCTCCCAGCGCTGGGGCACGGTTTACACTGGCGCTTTATAGTGCTGGAACTTGCTGCGCTCAGAGGGGGGCGGTATTTTGTCACACCCCGAGCGAGAAAGTTGCAGCGCTGTTAATTGCCAGCGTAGACAAGCCCTTACATTAATGCCATGAAGCTATCACTTGAACTCCTCCCTTCTACATGTGGGCCCTGCCTCCAATTGAGAGGAGCTGGCCTTTGATTGCTACGAAGCATATTGATGTCAGCTAGAGCAGCACAGTTGCACCCAGCAGCCCCAATTGGCATGTCAGCCCCATTGTGCCAGGCACTGTACAAACCTATATGAAGACAGTCTCTCCCTGAAAAAAAAAAAGGCTCCCCCTGCTGGGGAGTGAGAACAGTGCTCCTGGTCTCTGCTCATCTTGAGACTGTGGGACAAGGCCACAACCTCAATTTTGGTCACTTTCTCCTGGGTTTTTTCCCCCCAGTGTTCATGAAGATCTGACTATTTTCTCCTGCGGAAGTGTGCTGAGCCCAGGCTCATCACTTTCAGTTCCCAGTCTGCAAATCGGAAACATGTGCCTAATTCAGGAAACTTGCCTAAAGAACTGCAGTGTTCTGCTGTGGTGTCCAAATCACCGCATCTTACGGTAGCCTGGCATCCGTGTTCGGGGGCAAGGACGCCCGGTTGATAAGGGACGATGCACTCTCTGCTGCGAAGCTGCACTCACAGTGCTGGGGCTGTGGTATGGATTTGCTATGGTTGAGCTTTCCAGCTGAATGGTAGGACCCAGCAGGGCAGGAGAGCTCCAACCCATCTAACAGAAACTAGGGAAGCTAAGTCTCTTGGGGCTCTAGACTCCTGTCTGATCAGGCCTGGTATCTCCTGTTTCATAGGCAGCCAGCCTTGCAGAGGATATGGTTTAGAATGGGGGAGGGAGGAAACAGGTATTACAAAATCCTACCTGACTGGCCTGGCCATACTAGCCAAGGGATGGTGATGTTGCCATAATCTCCCAGTTCCATTGTTACCAGTATCGGGGTATATTAAATAGGTGATTGGGGATCGGGAAAGGCTGCTGCCCATGTAGGTAAATCAGTCCCAAGAGGGTCTGACTAAGAGTTTAACAGTAGAGGTGGTCTAGAAAACGAGGGGTGGGAAAATCATGACCATTTACATTTGCCTTTGACTTTGTCTATAGTACGCTCCTGAACAGCTATGCATTGAAAGCCTTGCTTTGCCCCGGCTCGTAGCTGAGGCTCACTGAAAATCTCCAGCCTTGAGTTACTGAAGGGCAGGGGGAGGTGGAAAAGCAGGGAGAAGAACAAAACAGCTGAACCAGCCTCTTTTCTCTGATTCTGTGATTAAGTTCCTTGGCTTTGAATGAATGGTTGTCCTACTTAACATAAGCTCCCTTCAGTCCTTGAGTCTGCCCCCTCCTTTGGTGTACAATAGGCTATTCTAGCTGCCCGGAACACATCTACATCTATTCCAGCTGCCCGGATCTGCAGGTTCCAGTATTGTCCATTTTTTACTAAACTTTGGGCACAGAGGGAAGATTAACACAAGGAGGCTGGGTGGGGAGAGGGGAGTGGAGGCCTGACTCTTCTCAACATTCTGCAAGGTAGATGGTTTGCTGAGATGGGGCCTTGGGATAAAGGTCATAGAGTGAGGATCTCCCTGATGGGTGGGGGAGAGCACACAGGAGCATAACTTTGTTTCTTGGGCGTCCCAACGAGCTGCAGAAATAGAAGGCTGCTGTAGTTACCGTTGGGCCGACAAATGTATATGAATTGTGCATGTGTCTGGTGACTAGGCCTAGCACCGCTCAGGTCACATCTCTCCCTGTGCCCACACTGTCTTGTGGACAGCTTCTCACTGTTTGGAGCAAGGATTGCAGTCCTCCTTGCCTTAGTGTGCAAATCCGTATCCCAGTGCAGATTCTGGGGTCTTCTGCAATTGGAATTCAGGTCTGTTCTCTCCACGGTGCCCCAGTGGTGAGTACTTGTGTCCAGCCCTCAAGGTGGGAAATCAGACTCCCTTTTAGGATTCCAAGGATGACTGATCTATAGGTTTCCCTCAAAGGGAAATGTGTGTATCATCTGTGATGCTCCTCGTGCCAGTTGACCCCCTGTGTGTCCCGGGGGTTCAGTAGTACACCAGTTATGAAAGCATGTGGGAATATTGTGCTGTGAGCTTAGGGAATTAACTTTCTCAATACTAGAGTGATTTGTATTGGTGTCCCACTGACCTAACAGATGTATAGTGGCCATATACAGTCTGCTGCACAGGGTCTGGGGCACAGGCTGCATCTGTTGCTCAAGTGAAGCCTCTCTAATCCCTTCTTGGTTTAACTGCTGTCTCTCTGCAGAGTTGGATCGAGGCCTGACGGAACCCCAGATTCAAGTGATTTGCCGCCAGATGTTAGAGGCTCTTGTCTACCTCCACAGTAAAAAGATCATCCACCGTGACTTAAAGGCCGGCAATGTACTACTGACCCAGGATGGAGATATCAAACTCGGTGAGCTTTTAGTTGGGCTGTCACAGAGAGAGAAGATGGGTGCATGCTTGCTAGGTGTATAATTCTGAATTGGTGGCGATTCAGTCTCCCCTGAGTAGCTTTGCTGTACTTGTGACTGTATTGTAATAAACTCTTAGCAACTGTGCATAGTCTCTTACAAGCCACATTTTAAGAAGCCGTGGTTGTTATCTGTACGTCAGAAACAAAACTTCAGGTTGACATTTTTTCAAAGGCAAAATATCCCTCCAATGGGAGAGAGGTAATGTGCACTGGTTTGTAAGGGTCTCCTGCTCTGAAGCCTTGCTTCTCTTCCTTATCTATTGGGTATGGTTATAGGAGGAAGGGGGCAGGCTTGATGTCACTCGGTAGGATACATGCTTGTGAGGCAAAATCTGCCGTGAAACTAGCCAGTGTGTTTAATCTGAGGAGTTTACTTAATACCTGGTGGAAGTAAAGATGCTGGGAAATGTTCTGCATACTACGGGGGCAGAAGGCTAGAATGGAAGGAAGACAGTTGGAAGGAATAAAGTAATTGCTGCTTGAGCAACACCGGCTGCCTACTGGCTGCAACTCAGCTTTCAGAAACATGCTGCTCTATAGATTTTCTTTAACCTGAAGCTCAGGTTTGGCAGCTGAGCAAATGGGAGATGGGAATGAGGAAGGGGAGAATGTGTCTCTCTCTTTCCCATCAGCTCTCATGTAAAGGGATTTCCTACGGGGAGGAAGTGTTGGTCTGGCTTGCAGATCCTTCAGGAAATCGCTTCACCAGGTCTTCCACCTGAACGTCTTCGGGGTACTGTAACACGCTGGCTTGTTGAACAGTCACTCAGGGTCAGGCAGCGGCTTTGGATCGTGCATTATGAATTCTCCACTGAAAAATGTATCACAAGTGATGCCAACACTTGCAGAATTTTCCTGCTGTTCTGCAATTGTGGTTACAATAGCGAAAGGAATAGAGTTGTGTTACGTGTAGGGCATCTCTCTTCTGTCCAGTCACTCGTTGCAATGATGGTTCTGCTGTTATTTTAATCACTTGTTTGTTTTGTTTCACATCTTGCAGGATGCCCAGAAATTGTACTTTGGGTGTGAAACATGTGCAAAGCAAAAATAGGCAGTATTCTACAGTCTCCCCTTTCCCAGGAGAATATCAATGCTAGAGTAAGGTGCCAGACTGGCACGGCTGGAGACTGGACTAATTCCTCTATCCACAGAGCAGGTCTGGCACAAGGCAGGGCAAGCTTCCCTAAAGAGCTGCTCTGCCCACATGCTGTGAGCCTGAGTTGAATTGACCTTCTTCTACTCCTTAGGGATGAGAGGCAATTCATTCACTGCAGCCCAGCCCGTATTGCATAAGGCCTCTCTCTTGAGGCTGCTAACAGGAATGATGGTGCTGGTAGTGATGATGGGCTTTTATGATGCTTCTGGGAACAGGACTGAGATCTGTTCCAGTTAATTACATGTGAACCAGTGAACTGTCAACCATTTAAATCTTCCTATGGCCTTGGGATCAGCAATCCAGAATCACTTGACCCTTCTAAGTCAGCTCTTTAAGGGATATATGATGGGATGGGGGAAGGAATCTTCCAAAGAGACGAAGAACCACAGAGACAAGGCTGGGCTGAAATGAGAGCAAAACTGATGATCTCTTAGAGTCACGAGAACGGCCATACTGGGTCAGATCAATGGTCCATCTACCCCGGTATCCTGTCTTCCAACAGTAGCCAATCCCAGATGCTTCAGAGGGAACGAACAGAACAGGGCAATTATTGAGTGGTCCATCCCCGTTATCCACTTCCAGCTTCTGGCAGTTAGAGGCTTAGGGACACCCAGGGCATGAGGTTGCTTGGGTAGTCTTATTGAGTTGGTTGGTGCTGGCTAAAGTGTCTCTTCTGTAGCAGGCACAGAATGCTTCCTGTTAACCAGGAGGGAGATGGCTAATGTCACTCGATAATTACCATTTGTTGGGTTGCAGGGAAGGGAAAGGAGGTAATTTTGACTCTTTGCCTTATTTATGTCTCAAAAGTAAGACTTCTTGTTAACAAGTTGTGCCTCTAAGAGACTTAGCAAATGGGCTTGCATGGAGTATCTGCTCTTTCATGTCTTGCAAAGAGGTCCATTAACCTGGAGAAATATTCTTAGGGTCTCACGGGTGGAAGGAACTCATGCACTCATAGGTACATTTAATTCACAATATTTGGTCTAGAGAGGATGCATATTCATACTGCACAGCACTCGTGCCTTTGCTTTACAATTCTGAAAGGCCTTTTGGTTCTTTTAGAGCATCTAATTTGATTAATCTCTTTGCAGCTGACTTTGGAGTGTCTGCCAAAAACATTAAAACTTTGCAGAGACGAGATTCCTTCATCGGGACCCCTTACTGGTGAGTAAACTGGCTTGTTCAGCAGCCTTATGTTGAAAGGTGAATTCAGTGGGAGCTGTGCATTTTCAGCACCTTTTGGAGGTCAGTCCGGAAATCTAGAGTAAAACATTGTCTTGCTAGGGACGAGAATGTGATCAACGTAGGGTCCACTTAACCAGGTTGCCTTATCAAGTGTGGATTGGGGGATTTTAGCATATGTTCAGAAATCTTAAGAAAAAATAACTAAAATATCTGTTCCATACCCTCTCTGCTTTCAAGAGTCTCCCCAACTGTGTTATCATAAAGGGGCAGCAAGGAGTGTGTTGGGGCAGCTGGAGACAAACAGGAATGCTCTTCAGAATACTCTTCTGTTGGAATGGCCCCCTCCCTCCAACCCAGTGCAATTCCTACAACTTGGAAGTGGGTGGAATCTGGGACATGTGCTCTCTCTCCTTCCTCCTCCCCCACCACATATGGTGGAATGTTCTTTGAAGCAGCTCCAAGTGCATGGGAGCCACAACTCACTCCAGGAATTTAATCTCTAAATCACCCTTGTGCTGAAGGAATGGGATCAATGAGCATTAATTTATTGTCTGAAGTAGCATCCCTGCCAGATGTCACCGCCCTGGAGGTTTTCACAGACTGCCTAGGCGCTCTCTGCTGATCTGGGAATGGGGGAGGAGGAGGGGAAATATGGGTCTTGTCAAACCGTGGGAAAGCTGCTGTTCCCCCTTGGCTAGCTGTGAAGTCCTATTTCAGGTGAAGGTGCAGTGTTGCAGATCAATGAGATGGTTTAAATACTGACTCCTGGGGCTTGTGTGCAGTCAGGCTACTCTTGGAAACATGCTTGTGTTGGTAGCAGGATGCCTCAGACAGTCCCCATTCCCCCTTGTGCTTGCCCTCGCAGGATGGCCCCTGAGGTGGTGATGTGTGAAACCATGAAGGACACTCCCTATGACTACAAGGCCGACATCTGGTCCCTGGGTATAACGCTGATAGAAATGGCCCAGATAGAGCCCCCTCACCATGAACTCAACCCCATGCGAGTCCTGCTGAAGATTGCCAAATCTGACCCTCCCACTCTCAACTGCCCTTCTAAATGGTAAGAAGACAAATGACTACTGCACGTATGAGAGCACGGAAGCTCTTTGCTGTGGCTTCCCAGTGATGCTGGGCTCAGCTGTTTGCGCTGCGTGCTATGCAGACTCCATCCAGGGAGTTCCTTGCCAATCATTATGTGTTTTAAGGTCCCCAGAGTTCAAAGACTTCCTGAAGACGGCACTTGATAAGAACCCTGAGACTCGGCCAAGTGCAGCACAGCTACTGGAGGTAGGCAGATGTCCTCAGGGGAGCTGACCCTTCAGACTGGCCTTTGTGTTGCATGTTTAACTTATCTTGGAGTCTGCTAAGCACTCCACAGGTCTAAGTAATCTATGCACATCCCAAACCTTGTCTTAAGCAAAACTTACTGGTCTTCCCTAGTTTTACAGTCCACTTGTACTTCTCCAGGGTCTCTCGCTGTGCTGGTAACACCCTCTTACAGGCAGACTGACCTATGAGCTTTGTTGTGTCTGTTTGTTGAAAGTCTGTGCCTGGACAAACTCTCTGGTATGACCAGAATGCCCTGTGCACTTGTGCAACAGACTGTAATTTAGGGGTAATGCTTGGGGTCCTTCTTAGCCAAAGATCAGCAAGGAGTGGGAGTGATGTACATAGTATTTGGGGTAGAGGTTGCAAGTTGTTTAGCACCCACTACTGACTAATTCATGCAGTGCCTTTAGGGCTAGCTTCCTACAACACTATCCTGTCTGGTCACCTGAATGTCTGGAGGGGACAAGATATTGCAGTTGCCAGATGACCTAGTTGGGGGGATTGTCCAGGGAGAAGCTTCTGCCATAAACTGAAAATGGAAAATAATCTGAATGCTTAAACACCAGCGGCCGGAGCCTGGGGCTGATCAGCAACTGGAGAGTTTGCACTCTAGCCCAGGTTGGCTGGGCATTTGATTGTACAGTGGATTTCTGTGCTGTAGACGCAGAAGATCGGTGTTAAGGTTGCACAGGCCATCTTAATCTGTCACTTCCTGACATTTGGCTACTTCACTCAGAAGCATTGGCCTTTTGTACGGAATATCCATAACGAAGTCTAACGATCAAAGTGTAGGCCTATTGCCATTTCCTCCCCCCAGTCTCTCTTTTAGATTGTCCCTGCCCCAGAGTACACAATCTCATGCTATGTTTTGGGCACTACAGCATTCAAAAGCTGTTCCCATTGAAGCCAATGACAAAACTGAGCTTGACTCCAATGGGAGCAGGAATGGGCTCTGATTTCCCAGACATGCCAAGCTGGCAGATGCTGTTTGAAGTTAAATTCACATCTCCACCCTCACCCTTCAAAAACGTAAAACGCTAAATGCTTTTTACCACTATCTGAATAACTTGTATGGTGCTGGTGTATCTTCTTCATGCTTCACGCTCTACACAGTGGTCAGTCATGTGGTTTTGTTTGATGAGCATTTCATTTGGTATGTAATGTGCCTCTTTAAATCAGCTTCTGATCTGGAAAATTGATAGTTCTGGCCTAATAACCCTGAGTGGATGAGAGAATGCCTTAGCCTGTGGTTTGCCACCCAGAAAAGTTCGACTGGGGGTGTGTTTACCTTAGTCAATAACAGGAAGTATACAGTATACTTCCTGGCCTCTTGATGAAGCTTAGCACAAATGCATGCTCTGTGTGTGCCTAGGGATTTGACTGCAATTTCCATTACACATCTCTCCACTCTGTTTACACATATGGTTCTTAAAGGTGCCACTCTCCTTCAGATGAGACCCACACCATGCATGCATCACAGAGACACTCCCGAGTCATTCGGTGTCAAGGAGAGGGCATCGTACCGTATCCCTATGGCAGCAAGTGCCTTTTGTTTAAATGCCACTGTTGCTCTGTTTGGTAAATGTTAACGCTGTATTTTGCAAGGCTGCATAGTGTTTAGGATATTTGTATCCACATGCAGTCCCTCATACCTTGTATCACACAAAACTGAGTTCAAAACAACGTAAAGCTCTGGATTTATATCCACAAATAGGCACAGTTAACGGCTGAAACTGTCTTTAACTGCCAGGCTTTCTGATCTCTGGCGGGACATTTGAATCCACGGTGCCAACAAGGCGGATTGGGCTTATTTCAACCTAGGAAAGCTAGTAATGCTAGCTAGCGGGCGAGGGCCTTAGAAACTGACACAAAATGGAAAATAAACTGAGTCTGTTTGCCCCAGTGTTCTCTCACACGGAGAGGTGGGAATCTTTCTAACACGTGTGTGATTGGGTTTGCAGCATTCCTTCGTTAACAAGGTCACCAGCAACCGAGCCCTGCGCGAGCTGGTGGCGGAGGCAAAGGCCGAAGTGATGGATGAAATTGAAGACAATCGGGAGGAAGGAGAAGAGGATGAATCATCGGAACCTCTATCTGTAAGCGCTGTTCTCTCCCTCTACTCAGCCTCTCCTATTTCTTAGAGGGTGGAAAGTTCCTGTAAAGTGGCTGTAAAGGTGCAGGCTGGGAGAGCAGCAGGACAAAGTTGCTGCAGGAAACTGTCGGGATTGAAAGGAATAGCTTCTTTTTTTAACCATCTCTGCCTCAGACTCCCGTTGAGGAAAAGCTGCTGCCTTGTTAAGTCCATTCAGCTGGACAGGAAGTCAGGGGTGGGGACCGCAGTTCCATGCCTGCTCAGGGTACTGGAAAATAATGCAGCTGGAGGGACGCCAAGTTTTCCCTTGAGAGGAGGAACCCACAATTGTTGCTGCTGCTGGTAGTGCCGGGCTTTCAGCAGGATGGCAGCACTAGTGCGGACTGGCTAGCTGGCTTCAAGGGCAGGGAAGGCGTTCCCCTCTGCTGACCCCCCTCCAGTTAGGCAGTGCTCTTGTCAGTGGTAGCTGAAGCAACAGCCGGTTGCTCTGGGATCAGGGCACTGCTGACTGTGTTAACATCATCCTGGCAGCACTGGATTCCGGTTCATGATGTGCTGCTAGGGGGTTTCTTGAGATGGGTCACCCCGAGGAGCGCAGAACAGAGGGGAAACGGCAGTTTTGACTCAGAACAAAGGCTAGAATAACCAGGCCAGTTTGATGACTTAGCAAGAAGTATTCTAGGCCTGGGAGCTGTCTATGTGCTCCACTCATACTTCCAGGCCCCACGGGATGCAGGGGGAGGGCCATGGGGTCATGACTTTACCTCCAGGCTTAAGGGAAGAAAGGTGAGTGCCATGCCTTCATGCCCCTTCTCCTCTCCCCGGTCAATGTAAGCAGTAATAAGTGCATCTGAAGTGGTCCAGTGCTGTTCCAAGAAGATGGTGAGCAGGGCATGGACTAGGGAGGCAGGGGCAGCTTGGGGCTGGACAGCACAAGGTAGAAATGGAGACAGAAAATTCAGCAAAGTGGCAGAGAGACGTAACCAGTAGATCCAGGACAGGGGGCTGGCAGAGCTGCCTCCGATGCCCGTGTCTAAGGCTCTTGGGAGCAGGCCAGAATGTGGCTATCCCAGAACCTTTGTGGGAGAGATGCCAGCAGGATGTCAGGATTTTTCTGATCCAAGAGGGACTTAAACGCCCACTGCGTGATCACTGTTGAAATTGGACCCAGCTCCAAAAGAGGAGCTATTAAAACCCAGTGTTGTTAGCCAAGAGAAGAGAGCCGCAGCAGTCTGGGCTGAGCACGGTATCTTGGGAAAGAGCCCAAACTCCCCTGCCAGGATTTCACAGCCGTACAAGCTCAAGAGCAAAACCCAGCTAAACACACTGCACCTGGGTCCGTTTCTCCTGCACAATCACAGCTTCCCCCAGGAAAGCTCCTGGAGCAAAAGCCACTTGGCTTCAGCACTTGCAGTGTCTAAAGATACATCTACACTGCACACTCCTTATGGCAGCGTGTGGAGTATATACACTGCACACACCCCTAGCACAGGTATAAATAGCAGTCTAGACGCTGAGGCACTACTTAGGCATATAAAGACACTGCAGAGCTTCAGGTTATTACCCTACATGGCTCTCTGCACATCCAAGTAGTGTTTTCCCCTGTTTACACTGCTACAAGTAGGTCGTGCCCCACTGCCTTCCCATTGCTGCAAGAGAGGCTCTGGTAGTGGAGAAAGGCTCAGGCAGCCTTTCGCTGTCCCGTGTAGCTACACATCGTGGTATGGACACAACCTGCTTTTCACTGCAGCATGTAGCTACGCATACCCTACATGCTGCTGTCAGTGTGTGCAGTGTAGATGTAGCCTAAAAGGAGCTGGCAGAATGAAGGGACAATGGGGTAACTCTCTTCCCTGTGCCTTGCTGTTAGCTGTCTCCCAAAGGGATCACCTAGCAATGCCCTGCTTCCCTGTGCAAGCATTGATAACCCAGAAACCAGCTCTAGTGGAGCAATATAGCTCTTCTGGGTCTCCTACGGTGCTGGTTATTCGTGGGCCATAAGGAGTATTGTCCTTCCATGTTACACTGTGACAGACCTCTGGAAAATGCTGAGGTCAGCACACGTGGCTAGGAGATCCAGATCCAAATATTCCAGGTGCTCTTTGCCTGCTGAGCCCAGGTGTACAGCATTGACATTGGGACTCAAACCATCACTCCTCCCCAGAACGCAGGCTCTTCCCGTGGACTCCGTTTGCTGGACCACATTGTGGCAGCATTCAACATAACACTTCGTTAGAACTGGGGGCGGCAGTTTTCCCAAACTTCTGACCCTCATCCCCAAGCTAACTAGAGTCTGACTGGTGCAAACCAAACCTGTGCATGCCACTGTTCTGATGTGTGAACCCTGCGGCATCTCAGGGCCCAGGCACAGCCCAAGAATCCTGGCTCTAAAAAAAGAAAAAGTTTGAGAGGAATGAACATATTGCATAAGGCCAGTGATCCGTCTAGTCTTATCAGACTTTGATGGTGGCCAGTTCCACATGCCTCAAGGGTAAAGTGTTTAAAACCTCCCATGGGGAACAATAATGCAATATAATGACCCCGGGGAGACCTTTCTTCCTAAGCCCCATGCAGCTAATGGCTAGCTGAGTCCTAAAGCATGTGGGCGTCTATCTCTTGTGAATGTAAGTTAATATAAAGAGGTGGGGGTTGGCAGGAGGAATACCAGTTCAGTGCATTAGTGAGAGTGGTAGACGTGCATCTTTCCCTAAGAAGCACCCACAGTCTTGTGTTGCTCAGGTGCTCAGTTGGGTCTCCTCGCTTGTGTGATCTGAGTTTCACTCTGATGCTGTGTGTGCCTCAGCTCTGTCCCATCGCTCTCTTCCTTGTCCTTTCAGCCCTCTGGGACTCACAAGCGAGGCCCCTCCGAGGTGAGTCAGCTGAGTTTTGAGGGAGAGAAACCTCCAGAGTCCCCCTCCCCACTGGAGATGAATGGACCCAAATTATCCGTGGAGCCGGCCATGAAGTCTGTAGACAGGCAGAGAAACAGACTCTCAGATGAAGGGATTGGCAGCGAGAACTCCATGAAAACCACCAGCAGCTCCGAGTCGTCCGGGACAGAGTATAGCAGAACAGCCGCCAGCACCCAGGAAGAGCCAATCACCAACCCCCAGTCAGGATTGTTGGATGACCAGGTTAATCCAATGGAGGAGAGAAGCCGCCAAAGCAAGCACCTGGAGCCAGGGAACAAAGAGCGTAAAAGCATTGGGAACTGGCCGGAGAGCAGCCACCTGGAAAATGCTGCTGGGGAAAAACTTGCCAATGGGAATTTGGATTCTCCTATTCAGTTTGCCAGCAGTAGGTCCAAGAGGGATTCGGATTCTGGCAGCACTTCTGCTTCAGAAAGCATGGACCTCACCATCTCTCTGTCTACTGATCTGTCCCTTAACAGGGAGAGTGGATCACTGTCCCTGAAGGTAAGGTAGGGGGCATTAATCAAAGATTAAAAGTTGATTTTAATCTGGAACTCAATATTCAGACCTCAGCATTGAGACCCTGTTAGACTTCCCTGACTCCTTCCAGACAGTCCCCTTTCCTGATGCACCTGGCAAACTTTGGGTTTTTTCCCCCCCTCGGGATGGTGATGATCTTTCACCAGGGAAGAAAAAGGGAGTTGTCCCTAGTGTATGATACCCTGGTGATGGGTGGGGTAGATAAAGATTAATAGTGCAGGGATTTGGTTTTGCTTAGTGTTTAATTGCTGAACACTGCAGAAAGGATCAGCAAATTATCATCCCAGTAGAGGCAATCATAAAACTATCAAAGCGCCCCAGTTTCAGTTTCCAGGTAGGTGACACTGTAATAAACACCAAGCCACAAAATAATTCCAGTCTCCATCCAAAGCTTTCAGCAATAGAGTTTGAAATGGGTACCAACCCCATAGGCTGGGGAGTAGCTTTGTTTAAGGGCAGATAATGTACCTGGAAGCAGAGGTTGTATAGTGTGTAATGATTATTAATCTGTGGTATGGGGAATTAGCCTAACCGCTACTTCCTTTAAACATGTACTTTCTCAATGTTGCATGCTCTTTTCCTTGACACTTGCAGATTCCAAGCCAGTGAAATCTAGTTAAGGTTTTACATTCTGCAACTAATTATAGTCTTTGGTAAATCAGCGGGAAACCTGAAGCTGACATAACTGCTCCAGCCTCTCCCTTGCGGGGACTTAACAGAGTCTGTGAACAAGTCCCAGCCTGAAAAACAAAATAACTAAATTGCACCTTTGTACAGTGCTGATTAGCCTATTTCTCTCCCCTACACACTGATAAAAAGACAACTTAATTTGGTGTAAGCTTTGGGTAGAGATCACTTGTGATTTTCTCAAATGTGCCATGTCTCTGGCCTAGCTTGTATCAGAAGTTAAACTGTTCTTTGCACTCGGATCTTCAAGCAGTCTTGGCTTTTAGGGAGGCCAGTGAGGACGATCGCAAAGCTCAGCGTGAGGGGTCAGTATTGCTTTGATCGAGGAGGCAAAATAAATGAAGTGACTATTTGCTGAGTCCTGGAAGGAGAAGCGAGGTGCAGTGTGACTCAGAGAGCCACAGATGTGTGTATTGCACAAGATCTTTGTCCAGTTGTCTGTGCAAGTGATGGTTTCCAGGTGTAGAAACATGCCCAAATAGCATTCCTAACAAAATTCCTCCTCCAGCTCTGCTCTCCTGCTGGGAGAGGAATAATTGGCACTTCCCCCTGGAGTCCACAGTTCTGCTAGTGGGGGCTCTTGTGTATGGAAGTCTCATCCCTTCTCTTCAGTCTCCCTGTGATAAATGATCCACTTCCAGAGGCCAGCCAAGAACGTATCATGTGTTAATCGTTCTCCGTGACGGGGGGGAGGATTGTAGGGAGCAATAAGTGAATAGAGATGCTGTTGCGTTTTAGCTAGATGTGTCTCTAACTGTACTGATAGCACCCTCAGAATAAAATTGAGGACATTCTAGCTCTAGTGGAGAGCTTTGGATCCCCTACTGTACTCGCTGGGAAGCAGTAATACTGTCGGCAAGGTCCACGGGACAGTAGGTTGATTTCTATCTTTCATACCCTGCATTTGGGATTCTGGCACCAATTCAGTAAATGAATCTAATCTGAAGTCTTGTACTGCTTTTCCCCCAGTCCGCTAGCGATACATGATGCAGCCTATGCCCCATTCAAAGCACTGCGTGAACATTAATTCTTGCCATACTCCCATGAAGTGGGGAGGCATCATTGTCCCCATCGGTAAAATCCCACCCCTCATATACTTAAGGTGAAGTGACTTGCCCAACTCCAGAAAGGGGGATCCATATCTGAGCCAAAGTTAGGGCTCCAGCGTTCCTAGCTCCCAGCCCTTTGATGGGATCTCCTAGACCATTGCTTGTAATGGCAGAATTCCCCATTGGCTTCTAGATCTTACTGGGCAAGGGCATTTTGCTACAAACTTGTGTAGAACATTTCATTTTTGCCCTAGTATGCAACCAATTGCAAGTGTGGCTTTTAGTGGCTCTTTTAAAAGTTCTCATGTGAAAGCAAAGCTCAGGCACAAACTGCTTCTCTGTGCCTTGATTCTGAGAGGTGCTGAGCCCCTCATTCACATTTTCAATCCTTCTGGATGGAGGTCTGTGTGCTGAATTCCCTTCCTCCCAGCTGGGCAGCGGGGAGGGGATCAGTGAGCCTGTGCTCTGCAGATGATGTTTCTAGCATGCTTTGGGATTTCCAGGGGGCTCCCATTTACATTCAGGGGAAGTTGCTGTGCTTGTCTGTTTATTTCATGTACTGACCAGATGCCGGGGGCAGCTGAAGGACATTGGGGGGGGTGGTCTTCACTGCCTGCTCGTTGTCCTCCAGATGGAATCTCAAAACTTACAGATGTTGCTAGATGGAGCCCCATGTGCATTGCACTGAATCATACAGGACTAAGGGCTTGTGTATGTGGAAAGTTGCACTGAAATAATGTAGGGTGTGAATTTAAACCAATATCACTAACCCTGTGCAATTGTCTGTGTGGATGCCCTTATTCTAGTCTGAGCTGTAGAGACACCTAAAGTCAAGGTTGCCCAACACTTTCCATTATAAGACCTGGGTTTTAGTTGCTTATAACTCTTTGCCAAACAAAAACCATTTTGGCTGAAATTTTCCATGCTGGATGTCTGCCTTGGGTTGAATCTTTTTGGAAACCTCAGCAAAAATGGTTCAGTTGTTTCTGATAATGAGATTAGGGACCAGGAGGGTGGGGCTGGGACTGGCTGGGCAAGGAGACTAGGACAGGGAGCCTGGAGATTGTGGAGGGGAGACTGGGATGAGGACACAGGCTGGAGGAAATAGGGACAGAAAGGTCTGTGACCACTAGAGGGTACACTCCCCTTCAGAAGCTAGTACGGAACCTGAGATTCCTGTGTCTCAACATTCCTCTGCTGTCAGTAAATATCTGCAGAATTGGATTCGGCCCCTAGTGCACAGTTCCTATGTAATATTGTGCAAGTTAGTTAAACCGGACTTTTCACAAGTGCCACTAACTGTGTTCCTCATTTTCGGAGTGCCCAGCGTGTTACTCAGCTGCAAATGAAGTCAATGGGAGCAGTGCTCTGAACTTATAAAGAGCTCTATTATGCTAAGTACACTGAAAAATCATGCCCAAGCATCTCACGATGGGCACCTAAAATTAATGGACACGTGATCTTAATTTCTGTCTCCATTCTCCATCTGTAGAATGGAATGATGATGGTATTTAGTACTTGTAGAGCACTTTTCATCAGTAGATCTCAGAGCTTTACACAGTAGGTCAGTATCATTATTTCCTTTTTACAGGTGGGAAAATTGAAGCACAGAGAGGTAAAGTGACTTGCTCAGGGTCATCCAGCAAGCCAGTGGCAGAGTCTAGACTAGAACCCAGGTCTTGAGTTCCAGTTCAGTGTTCTATCCACTAGGCCACACTGCCTCTCTGGAGTATTGTGAAAATAAACTCACTAATCTTTGGAAAGCACTCGAGTACTATAGTGCCAAGCACCATAGAAATGCCCTTGAGGAAATTAATAATTCTGTCTTAGAGCAGGAGTTTGAATGCTGTGCAGGTAGTAAGACATGAGGCTCACTGAGATACTGAATAACTGCTCAGTAATTGAGCACTGTGCATTCTGTGCACTGAATGAAGCAGGAGAACTAGTGTATGACCATGTAACTAAAGACACTAGCATAATACGTATGCAGAAATGGACTAAATTAAGGTAGCATGGGCAACCTTAATTCTGACATTTCCTAACTTCTGAATGTTTAGCTTTGCAACCATCATGTTCTCTTAACATAGCTATTTGGCTGTAATTTAGGCTATGGGTGCCTTCTTTTGATTTTGAGCTTAAGTAGTTTGCTTACTGACTTAAACCAAATGAACCTAGTCTTAGACAAGAATATCCACGCAGCCTTTTGCACCCATGTATTGGTTTGAAAACAGATTTAAGTTATCCTGGCACAACTCCCTCGTATAAACAAGTCCTTTGACTGTTCCTTTCGTTGCTGAATTGAGCAACAAGCTCTTCCTGGGCCCAGTAAACTCTGGGCTTCTCGGGCTCACTGGAAGCTCTTGCAACCTTTTTTCCCTAACGTAGTCATTATTGCTGGGGAAGGTAAAAGAATTGACTCATTCTAGCCTTCCCCTCTTCCTTTCTTTTTCACCCTCCTGCTGTTCCTTCCACCGCTATGGCCACCTTCCAAAATGCCACACGGTTTTATGTCATTTCCTTCCCACATTCATGACAAAGAAATCCAGTCACTTGGCCTTATCCTCCAGCTTAACTGTATTCAGATCCTCTGTAAGAACAGATGGCAACTGCAGCCTACTGCACCACTGAACGAGAGAGCGAAAACACCTGTCTCTACCTGTACTAGTGAAAATGAGCCAAAGATTTGCTAGTCTGCTTCTTCCCTGTAAGGAGCTCAGAGCTGCTGGTGATTAGCAAAGTATAAATCTCTAGCAATATAGGGACCCAAATTCTGATCCAGCGGACGAAGCTGGATATCATTCTAAATGCACCAGTTAGGAATTTATGTCCTGACTTTTGAAGGTGCTGAGCGTTCACAGCTCCTGTTGCGTTTAGTGGGAGCCGCAGTGGCTCAGGGTATGTCTGTACCGGAGTTAAAAACCCGCAGCTAGCCGATGCCAGCAGGCTTGGGCTAAGGGGCTGTTTAATTGTGGTGTAGACGTTCGGGTCTGGGCTCTAGGACCCTGCAAGGTGGGAAGGTCCCAGAGCTTGGGCTGCAGACTGAGCCAAAATGTCTACGCCGCAATTAAACAGCTCTGTAGTCTGACCCTCAGAAGTCAGTCAGTTGCGGGTATCTAATTGCAGTGTAGACATACCCCCGGCATCTTCAATAAGCTGTGACTTGCTTAAAAAAGGAAAGGTGACAAATGTCGCGTCTGCGGATTCATAGATTCTGAGGACTACTGTGAACATCTAGTTTGACCTCATGTATAACACAGGCCAGAGAACGTCCCAAAAATAATTCCGAGAGCAGATCTTCCAGAAAACCATCCAATCTTGATTTAAAAATTCTGAGTGGTGGAGAATCCACCACGACCCTTGGTAAATTGTTCCAATCCTCAGCCTCTACTGGGACTGCCAACAGGGGTGCCAGTCTAACTTGTCAGTCCAACTTGCCTGAGGAATCTCACTGCTAAAAGTTTGCACCTTAGTCTCATGATATGAACAAGAGGGACCCTGACGTCAGCCATCTATATGGCTAGGTATGGAGGAGAGAGTTCGACAATCGTTGGATTGCTTCTGTTTTTCTTTTAAGTAATGCTTTTGTACTGAGGATGCTGACTGTCCTAATGTGATACCAATATTTCATTTTAACAATAAATGAGAGCACAGTGTGGATTTGCAGGATGAATGAGGCAAAGCTGTGTGCTTAGTTTTGAATGAGTTCTGTTTATTCTGTTGGGAGGCTGATGTTTCTTTTATTAAAAATGCTAATGGAATTATTTTGAGATCTCTGGTCTTAGTGCTTGGCTGTCATACAGGCCGCTGGCACAGCTTCAGCTCATACCGTGCATTAAACAGTAACCTAGAATTTCATTTCATGACCTCTTGTTTTTTTTTTTTTCTCCTTCTCTCCTACTGCATGTTAGGATTCCAGGATACACAACAAGACACTGAAACGGACCCGGAAGTTTGTGGTGGATGGAGTGGAAGTGAGTATCACCACCTCCAAGATCATCAGCGAGGATGAGAAGAAAGATGAAGAGATGAGATTCCTCAGGCAAGTTGGAAGTTGGTCACTGGGAATTTGGGAGGGTTGGTTTGGCTGGCTCCCGGGACTAGCGATGGGACACAGAGCCTTTCACCTGAGCACGTACCCAGTAGTGACCTTAATTCACCACATGGTAGCGAAAATGTTAATGGGAACAGCCCAGCTCACAATGGGCAGCTGTCCACAACGTACAAACCACCTCACTGGCACCCTTGTTGGCAGTCCCAGTAGAGGCTAAGGATTGGACATTGACAGTGGACATTGAGGTACACTTTCACTTAAGGGCCATGCATTCACTGCTGAGGCTTACCAGTGGCATTCTGTGGGAGAAACTTGCACTGCCTCTGTCTTGGCTAAGCCTGTTGTGGATAAACTTACTTCCATTTCCAGAGCCATCAGTGTGACACATCAGCTCAACTAAAACAAACTAATAGAACTTCTCAAGATGCTTTTGTTTGATGGCTTTTGTATTTGCTCGGATAGACTTTTATTAACGGAAGAACTAAGAAGAATTTTAGTATTCGACATGTTCAGGCCCTCGAAAGTTTTGATTCCATTACATTTTTGTAGCCTTCAAGCCTCTAGGATTCTAGGTGGGGGGGGGGAGAGGGCAGTTTCTGGCTTCATTATGATTAGTGGTGATAGTGAAATGTGCTCCCATAAGGTACATTATTCTTCAGCTAGTCTGTTTCCCAAGTGCCATGGGAAATTTACTCTGTTGGAGCAGTCCTGACACTGCTCCAACTTGCACTGAGGGCCAGGCAGGTGCCAAGTGGCCCTAGAATACAGGGAATGCAAAGATGGCTTAAAGCCACTCTTGTGCACTCTTCTTCCTGCCCAAGTACCGGGAAGAAGTAACTGAAAATTGGGCCCCTGTTTTCATAACTGGCCTGCTCTACCTACACTACTGGGTGTGTGTGGGGGGGGGCAAGTGGGACAGAGGAGGGCTTGAAAACTCACAGGTCACTGCACAAAAGTGCATTCAGAGAAAGCTGCCGTTTCACAGGGTTTGTCCAGCAGGTTTAGTGCATTTTCTTTGCATATCTTTTCCCACTTGCAAGTTTCATATCTGGGTTTGTTTTCCTGCTGCTTGTTGGAACGTGCCAAGATATTGATTTTTAAGGCTGGAGTGGAGAGGAGCAGATCTTGTTGGGCAAATTGATTTAATGGGGTGAGTGTGTCTGGATAAGGGAAATTGCTCTAAAGTGGTTTTCCCAGCAGGATTCCTAGACTGTGTGTGGTATGCTGAAGAGCCTAACGCTAATGCACTGGAGTGAAGGTCACATTGGGAATTTCACTTAAAAACTGTGACTTTCTCCCCCCACCCCCACCAGGACATCAGCAATTTCCAGCTGAGCCAGCCTGTAAACCTGGCAAATGGGCATGGATGTGACACTCAGACCAGGCTAGGACACCCCCAAAGATGCTTCAGTGAAAGGCAGATGATTAGATCAGATCCGAGGTGTAACATCTCCTTGGTTCACATGGGAAAACTACCCTTCTCACCATCTGTGTCATGGACTGCCCTCACTCCTGAACTTACGGGATGGGCAGGGCAGCCCTAACAGGCTGAATTGTATTGCAAAGACTACTATAAAGTTAGACTGGATGGGACGTAATAGACCAGTTTTACCCTGCTGGGTAGGAGAGGCTTCTTTCCTACAAGTATATCTTCAAAGGGTTTCTCTAGACAAGTTTTAACTGTCCCAAGCAATGGGGCTTCCACTGCTATTCTGCTGGCTAATGGATCTTGCCTGTAAGATTTGACCCTCTTGCCTTTGTGAATATCGCTAACATCCTGCCTTCCTACAGACAGAGAACTGGTGCCATGGAGCCTGGATGCAAATCAATGCGTCTGCATTTACCTCGCTCTCCGAGTTCAAAGCAGTAACCCTTTCCTGATCATTAGGGGGTTGCCTGTGTGGTTGATTGATTTGCACTGTGGTTGAGTATTCATTGAAAATGCTATTTCTGCTCCCATGTTATTTCACTTACAAACTGTGCCTGCATGGGGAAGGCACCAAGCCTGGAATTTTACTCGTGGTTTTTTTAACCTTTTAGGCGCCAGGAGTTGCGGGAGTTGCGCCTGCTCCAGAAAGAGGAACACCGGAACCAGACCCAACTGAACAACAAACACCACCTGCAGCTGGAACAAATGCTGAGGCGCTTTGAACAAGAAATGACGGTAGGTGAGAAGAGGAAGGTGAACCTAAATGTCCTAGCTGGGTTGACTTCTCCTTTGCAACTGTCCTGCAGATACAGAGCGAGAGATGCCGTGTACTCTAGGCTGGTCAGCAGAGAGATTCAATGCCTATTGTTACACAAGCCATTAAAAACTAATCCTAAACCCTTGCTCACTCTTCTAAAGCAATGCTGGCTGGATTCACTGTGCTGTTGGAATGCATCACTCAGAGAGGACACAACAATCAAGGAAACCCTATGGGAGCCAGCAGCCCTACGCTGGTTTGCCAGAACCCATTGCTCTGGGCCAGAACTTCCTTTATACCCCCCCTATCCAATAGCAAAGGGGAGGTGCTGGGCCAGCTCTTGTGCCCATATTCTGGTGGTGTCAGAGCCGAGCCCATAGGTGAGACTTTGGGTCCTATACACTGAATGCAGGTGAATTGTGCTGTAGTGATTTACAGGCTGTGCGCCCAGCTGCGCCTGCTCGAGGGAGAGGCGTCAGCATGTGTTGAAGTAAATGGATGTTTTTTCATAGCCAAGTCAGGGTTTTTTTTAAAAAAACCTTTCAGGAGCCAGCAGATAAGTGTATCCTGCGTCCTGTCAGTAACCCCCAGGTCTGCTTGGAGGCCAAGAGACTATACGCATTTCACATGTTTCCCTAAATATTTAGTCTCTCTTGACCTGTTTGACATGCCGTCCAGTTGAATCCCTCCTTAAAAAGAAGTACCTGCTCACTAAGATTTTTGCCAACATTGTGGTGTGACACGTTAAGGAACAATGATGTGCTCCCTCTACAGTTTTCCTGAGGCACTTAGCAATCAAACCACATCCCACAAGGGCCCGTGCTCCTGCTGATGGTGGTATAATGCTGGTGCGACTCAAGAATAGAGAGAAGACAGATATGTCGGTGAAATGTTGCAGAAGGCAATGTCCTTCAGTGGTTTGCATACCCAGGGATGTTGAGCAAGAAATCTTACATTTGGGCTCCTCCCAGCACCAGTCTCTGCCCAGGATGT